TGTGTTGTGCAGCATTAAAAAATCAAAATAAAAAATTAAATGTGAGCAAAAAAAAAAAAAAAAAGAAATGATAACAAAAAATAAGGAAACATCAGAATTAAACTATGCCATAGATCAAATGGATTTAATAGACATTGACAGAGTGTTTATCCAAAAATATCAAGATACATATCCCTGTTCAGGAGCTCACAGAACTCTCTCCATACTAGATATTTTAGGTTGCAAAGCAAGTCTTAATATTAGAAAAACTAGCCAGGTATGGTGACACATACCTATAATCCTGTGTTCAGAAGGCTGAGGCAGGAGGATTGTAAATTTAAGGCCAACCTGGACTATATAGGGAAACCCTTCTCAAAAACACACATACAAAAAAACTGAAATAATGTCCTATATCCTATCAGATCACAATGGAATTGAGACTAAAAATCAACAAAAGAAATCACAAAAATTATAAAAACAAATTTTTTTCTTCTTTTTTGGTGGGTGGAGGACAGGGTCTTGCTAAATATCTTGACCTCACTACGTAACCCATGTTGGTCTCAAATGCACAGCAATTCTCCAGCCTCTTCCTCTCATGCCACCATGCCCAGATGAATATACTTCAATGAGACTGACAAAATCTGGAGAAATTTTAAAATTCCAAGAATCAAAATTGAAACACAACATATCAGAATCTTGGACACAAAGAAAATAATTCTAAGAACAACACGTATAGCTATCAGTGTCTACATTTAAAAAACAAAAGCTATTCCAAATACACAACCTAATGATGTATCTCCAAGTCTTAGAAAACCGAAAGTATATCAAACCCAAAACCGGAGGAAGGGAGGGAGGGAAGTCAGAGCTGAAGTAAATGAAATAAAGACTAAAAGAACTATATAAAGGATGAATAAGAGAGTTCATTCTTTGAAAACATAAAATTGGTGAACTCTTAGCCAAACCAAAACAGAGATGACCCAAATTAACAAAATTCAAGAGGAAAAGGCAACGTTAAAATAAGTATCACTGAAATCCAAAGAACTAGATATGAAGTTATAAACAACTGTAAAAACTACTATTCAAAGAAATTTGAGAATCTAAAAGAAATGGATGGATTTCTAGATATAAATGACTTACCAAAATTGAAACCAAAAAATACCAAAACCAACCAGTAACAAGCAATGATACTGATGCAGTAATAAAAACTATCACAACAAAGAAAAGTCCCAGAGAGAAGAGAACTACTGTTGAATTTTATAAGACCCTTAGTGAAAACCAAACACCAATACTCCTAAAACTTTTCACAAAGCAGAAAGGAATACTTCCAAGTTCATTTTATGATGTCAAAACTACCCCAATAGCAAAATCAGATTCAACAACAAAGAACTACAAATCAATATCCTCAATGAGCACAGACACAAAAGTCCTCAAAAAGATTCTTGCAAACAAAATTCAACATGTTATAAAGACCCAGCTGGTTCCATCCCAAGGATGCAATGATTTAACATACGTAAGTAAATAAATATTACACACCATAAAAACTGAAGCTAGGATAAGAAAAATCACATGATTACGGGTATGGAAAAAGCACTAAACAAAATTCAGCATCCCTTCATGATTAAAAAAAAGACTTCAAGAAAATAAGTATAAAAGGATCTGTCTATCTGCAAAATGATGAAAGCTACATACAACAAACAGCCACCATTATAATGAATGGGGAAAAAATGAAAAGCATTTCCTCTAAAATCATTCCCATCACTCCTTTTCATGATAGTGGCTTAAATTCTAGCCAGAGTAAGTAAGCAAGAGAACAAAATAAAAGTGATACAAGTAGGAAAGAAAGAAGTCAAATTATCCCTATTATAGGATGGAGGACTTTAAGAACTACCAGAAGTCTCCTAGAACTAATATAACAAAAAGACAAGATAAAAAGTCAACACATAAAAATTAATGATGAACTTGCTGAGAAAGAAATCAGGAAAACAACTTCATTCATAATTTTAAAATACCTAGGAAGCAAGATAAACAGGGAAGTAAAAGACCTGTATAATAAAAATTATAGAGCACTTAAAGAGATTAGAACATGGAAAAACCTGCTTTGTCCATGGTTCAATGGAATAATATTGTTAAAATGGCCACATTACCAAAAGTGATGCATGGATTCAAAGCATAATATTAATTCAGGATTAAAATTTTATCTGATTTTCATTATAGCCTCCAGATATTAAATTCAATTAAATAAGATAGTATATATAAATTTCATACAAGGGAAACTTAGTTCATTAAAAACATTCAACAAACAAAGAGCAGGATCATATTAACAAACTGATAAGAAAAAAGTGAACCAAAATTACGACTTGAGAACTTTTGTAAGGAGTTTATTCAGTGAAAACACTGCTCATCTTGGGTCAATACCTAAAAGATTTCACAGTTGAAACATGCCAGCTGAATTCTGGTTGGCAAAGATAATAAAGAAGAAAAGCAAAAGGAAGACAACAGTTTTCATGTAAGAGGGGAAAAAAAGCCTAAAGTTATTAAATGAATAAATACATTTTAAAATAGAAAAATATCTCTAGAATAGTGCAACAAATTTTTTCAATCAGCTTCAGACATTTAGAGAAACTTCACAAATAGAAAATATGAAGATTTTCATAATTTCATGTTATCCTTGTTTCTATTAAATATTTTTACACTGTCCCATCTACAAGGTCCAACATTTGCTTTTGAAAATATAGCACAATAAGGTAACATCAATCAAATGGCAAAAATGAGTCTAAATCCCTAAAAGGAAATAGTAATAATATATGGAAGCAGATGAGAAGTGAAAGGACAAGAGTCAAGGGAGGGGGAAAAGAATGAGTTTCACAGTTGAAAATAAGAAGCTTTAATTTATTTTTATTTTTTTGTATTTTAGGGAAGGGTCCAGAGGGTGTTCAGGGTCTCACTACTAGATTGGACTCCTAGTGATCCACCTGTTTACAGCTTCCCAAGAGCTGGGATTATAGGCATGCACCACCATGCCCAGTCTCAACTGCCGGTCTCAGAGCACACCAGGGGCGGGGCCGGCATGGCAGGCCCAGGGATGGGAATCGAACTCCCAGCCCATGCGCCTGTTTGCAGGTGCTTTAATCCACTGAACTATTTGGCCTGCCCTGAAAGAAGTCTTAATTTAATTGAAAAAGAAAAATTCAATGGTTCTTGCAGATAATTTGAAAAACCAAAAAAGAAAAAGAAAAGAAACCAAACCAAATTCTGGTTATACATGAAAAGAGCTTTTGCTTCTAGAAACTATTTTCCATTATGTGACCAAAAAAAATTTTTTTTTAATTTTATTTTATATAAAATTGAAAATTCAGAATGTTAAAGATGCCATGTGGTGGGCTGGTGAGATGGCTCAGTGGTCTAAAGCACCTACTTAGAACAAGCTAAGCTAAGCAAAACACAGGGACCGCAGTTCAATCCCCAGCACCACATGCCAGCCAGCCCCGCCCCCTGGTGGGCTGAGCTGGCCACACACACACAAAAAATAAATAAATAAATAAATAAATAAACAAACAAATAAATAAATAGTTTTTTAAAATGTATGCAGTGTGTTAATTTAAAAAAAAAAAAAAAAAAGATGCTATGTGGTGGATTGCCTCAGTCAACTTGTTACACCCAGCTGAATTGAACTAGCCTGGTGCTTGGTGTGGGAGGCCCACCTAAGGATTGCTGCCAGCTGCACAAGAGGCAGAACTGGAGGAGAACTGTTGAGAGGTTGTTAGGGAAGCTCTTTGGAGAAGCTGTGGAAGCTGCTAGTTCTCTCTGGCTATTCTGCTGCATGACCTTGTCATGCTGGCTTCCCTGATGAACCGGACTATTCTCACTGGAGGAGGAGCTTGAGACCCCGCTGTCGCTGAGAATGGTGATGGTTCACTTTGGGGGAACTCTGGTGCTCATCCTGAGCATTGCTTCTTGACTCCAGAGTGGAACGTGGTGCACAGCTCAGTCTGCCAGAGAAGCTGGTCACTTTGGTTTTCTGATGGGAACTCAGCTTTCTTTAACCTTGAAGGAGCTCAGGACATCACTGTCACTGAGGATGGTTGTGTTAGTTTTCAGGGGAGCACTGGTTCC